ATTTCCTGAGCAGTTGTTAAAACTTCCACCAGTGGTAGACTGATATGGGATGTCCATAGAAGGGGGTACAAGGCCTGTTGTTGTATTCCTCCTGATTGAGAGGGACAAGGGAAATTGTAATTATAAGGACCATGGAATTGGGTGTCTGTTGCTGAGCATCATTGATTTTTGAAAGATAAATAATGCTCAGATGATTAATCACCATTTCAAGGCACACAAGAAAGTTAGAGGGGCTTCTTAGCAGAATTTAAGGAAACCCTAATCTCCCGCAGCCAGAATACCAAGAGAATAGAAAACCAGGCTCAGGACTGAATCATATAAATAGTAGATCTTCAGGGAGGACTGACTTCTTAGCCTCAATAAGTCTCCTACGCCAAGTACAGGGCTCAAATAGGGAAGGAGGAGGATGCTGAGACCTGGAATGTCTGAGTAGATGCAGTTAAGTACCTTAAATTGATGGCTCCAGAAGTCCCCTCCACCCATCTGCCTTTTAGAAGAGAGTAGCCCTCTCCTGGTTTAAAGATGTTGCAGAGACCTCAAATGAGGCATGCACTTTGCAAGAACAAGATTACCCCTAACTCCCCAAACAGCACAATAAGGAAGATGGAATCTCAGTACAACCAGACTAGAGGTAGACATGCTGAGCCTGTTGTGGAAGGAGAGAGAGCATATGCCACGGGAGCTATAGGTGTGGCTAATGTGTACCAATAGTAGTAGCTGGTAGCATCAGCACAGGACTGAACCATGGAATATGGGATCAAGAGGGGCGGAACATGAGGAATAGTCTCCATTTTATATGATTCAACACTTTGGTGAGGATCCAAGAGATGATAAGACTATGTTGGTAAAGGGCTGTTAGGATATGGAAAAAGCGAAGGCCCACGCTATGTGAAGTAAAAATGCTGGAACTGGCATGTAGCATGGTGAAGGAACAGATCAAGGTTCAAAGAAGTTAGCACACTGGAGTGCATGCACTGTATAAGGCTGAAACCACCAGTTGAATATGTCTCATGGAAGGGTCTGAAGGATGCTCCAAGTGTCAAACCAATAAGAAATGCCCTGGAACAAGTAGAAACAGCTCAGTGATGACTATTCTTTGTGGGCCAAGGTAGGAGAGGCTAATATAGAACTGGACTTCCTGATTGCCTGATTAGAGCCCCATACAATAAAGGTCCCAGTGGTGGCACTCAAACCTCAGAAGCAAGGAAGTTGCAGATATCATAGTGATAGCAAGGTGGCCACAGATACCACTTTATGTGGCAAAATCCAGGTGCCATTTGGATTAAGTTGAAGGGGGAATCTAAACTTGAAAGAACTGTGGAGATATTAATGGAACTTGATATTTCTACAGGCAAGTTAGATTAGCAGTCAAAGGGGCTATTTCTTAGTTTACATAAGAAAAAATATCAAGGATGAATGATAAGACGGCTGAGGGAAGCCTCTCAAATTGAAATTGATGTTACTTTGCCAAGTTTCCACACTTGAATCAGTTCTCAGATCCAGAACACCAAAGGTAGAAAGAGTTGTTTCTGAGGAGGACTGCAAATCCATAGCAATTATATTCTGTTGAAATTCCACCAGTTCTTTTCCCAAGGGACCACAGTCATTTACTCAAGTGACTGTGTATTTGGGAAAAAGCAGTATCCAAACTCTTCAATGAGTATAGGGTCAGAATTTACACTGATACCCAAAATGGGACTCATATGCCATAATAGCCCTCCTGTTAGAATTGAATCTGCAGATCCATTTGGGGAGTATTGCCATTCAGTGTGGCTGTCTGGGAACAGATAATAAATGGGATCCTGGAATTCTAGGTCTGGCTCACAGTGTGTTCACTGGTTTCATGGACCCACCTGATGGTCAATTGGAAGAGACATACTTGGAGTTTGGCAGAAACCCTTGGAGTTGGCATTGCTTTCTTAACCTGTAGAGTGAGAAATTTAGCCAAGTGGAAACTTCTGCAACTGTGCCTCCCCCAAGCCATATTTTTTTAGTAAATAAAAAAATATTGCAACCTGGGGAGAATGGTAAACATTAGTGCAACCTTCAAAGATATAAAGAATACAAGGGAGTCTTTGACAAATCCCCTTTGAATTCATCAGAATGGCCCCTTAAAAAATGAAATGAATCACAACTGAATGATTCACTACTGCAAACTTAATCAAGTTAGTGGCCCCAGTTGTACCTACTATGCTGAATGTGATTTTACTAAAGCAGATTAATATAGCCTCCAACACATATTAAATAACCACTGATTAATTTGGTGAGTGCCTTCTTTTCCATCCCTATAAGAAAAGAGGCTCAGAAGCAGTTCATATTCATGTGAGATGGACAAGAGTACACAATTATGGTCTCATCTTAGATTATGGTAACACTTGGACCCTCTGTCATAATATTGCTAGGAGGAATATGGAATGCCTAACATTCCACAGAACCTCACATTGACCCATTTTATTGACAATGCCATGCTTATCAGCCCAGATGAGCAAGAAGTGGCAAGTATGTTTGTACCTTTGGCAAAACACATGTGCTCCAAAGAGTGGAGATGAAAGATTCAGAGCACCAGCTTATTAATGAACTTTTTAGGGATCCAGAGTACTGGAGAAAGCCAAAACATTCCATCCAAATTAAACAACAAAGTGTTGTCTCTTACACCTCCCATTACTAAGAAAGTAGCATAAATCTTAATAGCCTTTAAAGGTTTTGGAGGCAGCATATTCTGTACTTGGGAATATTGCTCTGTTTCATTTGCTGGGCAACTCTGAAGGCTCTGAGCTTTGAGTTATGTTCAGAGCAGGAAAGAGCTCAACAGACAGACCAGACTATGGTAAAGTGGTCTTGGCATTTGAGCCATATGACTCAGGAGACCCATATGGTACTAGAGGTATCTATGGTAGGAGAAGATAGTGCGTAGTTTATGGAAGACCCAATAGAAGAATCACAATGTAAACCTCTGGGGTTCTGGAGAAAAATCCCTGCCATCTACAATAGAGGACTATCGCCATCAAAAAGCAGTTACTGATGTGCTACTTGGCCCTGGTAAATACAGAGCTTCTGACCATGAGATACCAAGGGATTCTGTGAATACATTATCCATCATGAGCTGGGTTTGATCAAAGCCACCAAGTCATAAGGCGGGACCAGTCCTACAGCAATCCATTCTAAGATGGATATGGTACAGCTAAGGTTGGAACAAGCAGAGAAGGAGAAAATGCATAAGATAACCAAGCAGGTGACCCAGAACCCCCATGCCATCCATTCATGCTGCACTAGCGTATCCCCCACAGCTCACATTGGGGGCTTAATGGGAAGATCTTTATGACCAGATAAGAGAGAAATAAAAAGGCCTAGGTTCACTTATAAGGTGGCTTTAACGGACAATGATGAGGGGAAATCCTTCCAGCAGACAGAGTTTTGATGCTAGGTTCATCAGTTTTGTGTAGAAAGAGAGGTGGCTTGAGGTAAAAAAAAATATATATATATATATAGATGAACTCATGGGCAGTGGTGAATGGCATGATTGGTTGGTCAAGGCCCTGGAAGGAGAAATATTGGCAGATTAGAGACAAGGAGGTCTAGTAAAAAGACATGTGGATGGATCTATGGAAGTGGAAACATGAAGATTTTCAAACTGTATGTTAACGTTCAGCAGAAAACACCTACCATGGAAGAGCTACTGAACAACTAGGCAGAATGACTTGGCCAATTGGTGAAAAAGCCAATATCTGTCATTGGCCACTCTGGTGCCGGCCCAATGAGAGTGTGAACTAAATAGCCATGGCAGCCAGGATATGTTCTAATTTGTTAAGGCTGATTCAGTTACCACTGCTGTTGAATGGGCCTTGGAGGCAGCTAAAAACTTTGGAGATGGGCTATGAACAAACACCTGGATTATTAATTATTTTCACCTTTTCATCATTTTAGCTTTTGGATGCTTTTATGTATCCACAGATAATGCTGAGAGAGATATCTTTTTCTGTAGGCCAACCTGACTCGAGAGTAAAATAATTTTCTCAAGTGCTCCTGGTCAGAGCATAAAGGGGAAGTCCTCCTGGCCCCACAGGAGGCAGCAAGAGCAAGAATGAATCTTCACAGCAAGAGCAAGAAAGCATTGGTTGAGGTCGAGTCATTAAGAATAAAGGGAATAGTAAAACTACATTTGGAGATGAGTTGCTCCTGTATAAAAAATGTTCTAAGGAATCCACACCAAAAAACAATAACTGTTAGAACTAATAAAGCAAGTTTAGCGATTGTAGTTGTATACACAGTGAACAATCCAAAAATGAAATGAAGGAAACAATTCCATTTATAATACCATAAAAATAATAAAATACTTATAAATAAATTTAGCAAAAGTAGTGTGAAACTTTTAAGGCCAAAAACTACAAAACACCATTAAAAGAAATTAAAGATTTGAATGGAAAGATGTTCCATGTTTATGGATCAAAAGACATGGTTATGATGGCAGTACTCCCCAAATTGATGTACAGATTAAACACAATCCCTATCAAATCCCAGCTGCCTTTTTGTTTGCAGAAAATGGCAAGCTGAACCTTATATTCATATGCAAATACAAGAGGCCCAGAATAGCCATAACATCTTGATATGGAAAAACAAAGTTGGAGGATACATATTTCCTGATTTTAAAACTTATTACAAAGCTACAGTGATAAATACAGTGAGGTATTGTCATAATGAGAGACATATGGATACATCAAATCAAATTGAGAGTACAGATATCAAGCCATACAATTATTGTCAATTAATTTTTGATACATGTGCCAAGACAATTCCTTGGGGGAAGAAAAGTCTTTTCAACAAATGTGCTGGGACAACTGGATATCCACATGCAAAAGAATGAAGTTGGACCCCTGTCTCACACCATGCACAAAATTTAACTCAAAATGTATCAGAGGCCTAAATGTAAAAGCTGGGACTCTTAAAACTTTTTTAAAACTCTAAACTTTCTTCTTAGAGTTTCTTTCTTTTGCATTTCTAAAACACTTCCTTCTTAGAAGATAACATAGGCATGAATCTATGTGATATTAGGTTAGGCAGGAGATGTGTAGACAGGACACCAAAAGTAAGCAGCAAAAGAAAAAAAATAGACTTTATCAAAATTTTAAACTGTTGTGCTTCAAAAAACACTATCAAATAAGTGAAAAGAAAATCCACATAGTGGGAGAAAATATTTGTATTTGTAAATCATATGATGTTTATGCATCATATATATTGTATGATCACACTTATATGAAATGTTCAGAACAGGCCTCTCCATAGAGACAGCAAGTAGATTTAGTGGTTGCCAAGGACTGGGAGATAGGGAGGAATACAGAGAGATTGCTAATGGGCATAGGGTTTCCTTCTTGGGTGATGTAAATGTTCTGGAATTAGATAGTGGTGGTCGATGCACACCCTTTTGAATAAAAACTACTGAATTGTACACTTTAAAGTAAGGGTGAACTTTATGGTATATGAATCCTATCTTAATAAAGCTGCTATTTGATAAAGAAGAAGGAAGAAAGTGAAGGGCATTGACCCAGGAGGCCGGGTTTAGAATGTGAACATTAAGCTGAACCATCATCATGTCCTCGAATATGTGCCCAGATATATGCTCTTCTTAGAACATTTTCTCCACCTTTCTGCCTACCCAAGTCTTATACTTCTAATATAACTGGAATAAAAACTCTGCCTCCCTCATGTCTGTATCTAAAAAACGTATGGCTGTACTACGCCCTGGCTCCTCATCAAAGAATTCAACCAGGAGTTGACTGCAATCTGGAATTTGCTAAAAGTGCACTTAATATGCACTATTGGAAAGGGACAGTCTAATGGGCACATTAACTAGCCATTGGCTTAGGTACTCCAGGCTCGATCACAGTAATAAGTTACATCATCAGAAACAATGCGCTTGGGCCGCACGACCTAGCCAGCCACGGGCATTTTGGTGAGGAGTGATGTTATAATATTTTATTCTCTGCTTTTATAGAGGGCCTGTATAAAAATATCCATTTGAATGGCTTATCTAAGTCTGCCACAAAATTGTAATTGAAGACCTTTTCCATTATATTATCCAATGACCCTTCTGTAATGGCCCAGGCGATAAATGTCTCTTTGTTACCAGGAAGAGGTTTCTTCAGCAAGTGAATAACAAGGATATTTCTTTGCTTTTCCTTTGCTTCTCTTTCCTTCCCCTCCCTTTCCTTTTCCCCAAACATAGAAAGTATCTAATGCATTAAAAACAGCCCACACTTACTGAGCATGTACTGTGAACCTGTCGAGATCCTTTACATGTCTTTCCTTATTTGACCATCACAACATCCTATGCTATACACACTGCTATTGTCCCTCTTACACAGATGTGCAGACTGAGGCTGAAAAAGATTTGATGACATATCCCGCTTCTCCCAGTGTGTAAATGACAGAGATGGGATTTGAACCAAGGTAGCCTGACTCCATAAAGCATTCTAAGTCCAGCTTCTGTTTTCACTTAGCTGTACAGCTTCTTCCCTACCCAAGTTTCACTTTTTAAGTCATCTGCAAAAATTTTGAATTAAGGGAGTGTGCCTACTAAATACATGTGTGCTTTATTCCTCACATCTACTGGCTGAAAATGCTCAATAAATAACATTGATTGATTCATTCCTCTAAGTTCTGAGATCCTTGGAAGAATGACCCTCCATAAATTCCGGTGGCTATTTTTATTAATGATGCAAGGGTAGTAGTAATCATACAGGCTGAAGGGGAGGAGGACAGAGCTGAAAACAAAAGTGATTCATTTTATTTCTTCGATGAGGTGCCTGGAGGTGCAGTCTGAAGTCTGGGGCCTCTGGGTGCTTGCGCATTGCTGGTGTAAATTTAATCGTCTCGTCTGATGTGTGTTTCCACAGAGTGGCAGGTACTCCCTCTCCCACTTCTGAACAGATTTACTCTGATAGGCTTAGGGAAAAAAGACCTTTTACTCTGCCAGCATGATTTAGCTGGTCGGTGGGACCGCTCTGCTGTAAACGCATTCATAAGCAAGCTAGCTCTCAGTCACAGAATTTTGATTTGGTTGTTTCCTTTCTTTTCTCCCTTCTCTGTTTTTTTACCCTACTGGTACATAGAGGTCAGACACCTGGCTCCTAATTGGTTGAAAGATGAAAGGCCAGTAGAGCATCAAGATTTTCATAAGTGAGGTTCTCACCTCCTAGCCAGACATGATTAACCTTTCTGTTTCTCAACCCCCGTGCTTCTGGGAGGCTCCTGGTTTAGAGTGCTGATGCTGCAGGAAGCTAATAGGCAGACTCCCTAAGAAACTTGCCCCTGAAAATGTGGTCCACGTACCAGCAGCAGTAGCATCACTTGGGAGCTTGTTAGATGTGCAGAATCTGGGGCCTCACCCAGACCTGCTGAATCAGAATCTGCAGGTGAATCATATGCACGTTTAAGTCAGGAAGCACTCTTTTGAGACCATTGTACTCTCAAGAGGTGGAAGCAGCTCTGCTACTAAACAGACTTCCCATGGCAGCCCCTTGAGCATGCCTTAAACTGAATGCCTTGGTGCTGACATGGGTTTCAGGAGTTAGAAATAAGGGCACTGACCAGACAATAGTGTGTGACTTCAGTGGTGCTCTGCTGCCATCCTTGCACTTTTCTGCTCTCTGGGAAGGATGCACATGTTATATGTTAGTCTTTCCCTCCACTGAGATGTAAAACATCTGGACACCAGGGGTGTTGCTTCTATAGTTCTAGGAGGTTCACAGTAAGTGTCATTAGCGTCTCTTGCAGGGAGTGACTTTTCTGTGCATCATCAGTACTTTGTACATCTCTACTAGAGAATGTACCTCTCTGATTTGTGTATGCACCCCACCCACCACATTATATTGTGCAATTCTTCATGGCCCGGAAGCATGTTTCAAAGAGTGTTCAATACCCTACACTTTAGCCTAGTGCCTAGCACTTAAAACATGAATGAAGGAAAGTAGGAAGGAGGGAAGAAGAAAGAGAAGAAACAGGCTTGATGTTTGGAGAATTGAAGATATACATGTGTTTTGGAGAGTATAGAGCAAAAGTGTGCAGGGAGGTGAGTGTTCAGAAAGAGAAAAATCTTAAGGAGGTGGGCATGAAGTAGCTGGGTTACAGATAAGGGGACAGGTCAAGAATTAAGGTCACTTAAATATAAATGTGGAGCCTCTATGCAAATCCAGGTCTGTCCAACTTCCCAGACTGTCTCCTGGGTCATACTGCTTTTAAAGGGATAGTACCAGAAGGACCCCCAGTACCTGGGTAAAATATCCAACTCCCTCATACACAGGGGAGCAAACTGGGAGAAGTGGAATGACTTGCTCACGGGTGTAGAGATGGCTGGAGGCAGAACCAGAAGAAAGGTGTGTGTCTACAGTCAGTCACACTATCTGAATTTTCCACCTGTCCTTCCAGGCCAGGAGTGCCAGCCACAGCTTTGTCTTGGGTGGCTCCTTTGGTCCACATTCTCACTCCACTGCTAGAAGGAGTGAGAACTCTGTACAGCAGAACTTGCCTCATTCCCCTTCTCTGCCATGGCCTAGACTCCAGTCATACACTTGACATGCTAACTGCACCACCTAAGCCCTTTGGTGTTGGTGGTACCCAGATACCTCTAGCCTTCACAGGAAAGTTGTTACACAGATTTGTAAAGATATTCAAACTCTAATTGGTGATCTATAGAAAACATCAATAAATTAGAGGCAGGATGTTGTAATTAAAAAACATGTAGCTGATAGAGTCATCAGGAATCCAGTAAGGAGATCCAACCTGGATGGAAATATGTCTAGGCTGTGCTGAAAGCTTGTCCCGGGAGAAACTTCAGTCTTCTTCTATTGCCTGTTAGAGAAGCTGGTTACTTTTGCTAGAACCAATCCCAGGGAAAGATGTGAAGCTCTTCCCACCTCTAAGTAGTCCTCTTCTTCCCGGGAAATCGCCTTTCCTCCACCCTCACACTCCTAAGCCCCACACTGGGTGCCTGTCATCTCCCAACACCCAGATGTCATGTACTAGCGAGAGAGGTAGAGAAAAAAGCAGATTCAGTGCTATTACCAGCTCTGCTAATAGATACAACCTTGGGCAAGTTCTGTCACCTCTTCTTCCTCACATAAGAAATGAGTTGACTGAATGACCTCTAAAAACCTTCCAACTCCAAAAATTGCATCCTCTCTTTTGCCAGTGGGTTAACTTCTAAGATTTATTTCCTTCTAAGGGCATTTTCATTTTCATATGAAACATAATGGCAAAAAAGGAAGACCCCTCTTGTGCAAGAGAATAGACTTGCATGATGGAATTACAGACTTTGTCGATGATATTTGGGGGCAGGACATCACGTAGCAACGCATTCCATCTACACATAAGCCGGCTCTGCCCATCATGATGACTGTTTTCATATTTGTGAAAAGAAGCCAAGAACTGTATGTGAACTATTTGTGATACCCAGTATTTGAAACAGACTTCATTTATGTTTTTGGCTGTGTGAGCGTGAGTAGGCCTGCAGAGCATGGCATTATATTATTAGCAGCAGGCATTAAATATATTATTTAGTATTAGAGGTATTAGTCTCAAGCATTAGGACAGATTACATTTGATGTATTAGTTCTTTAGGGTGACAATTAAGGCTTGAATTCCTGATTGTTATAGCCAGTAACTGAACTGTGATTTGGCTCTTAATTCCACAGGGAGTTCACCAACATTGACAACCCACTATTAATTAGTGACAATTCTTTATTTGTGATTGTATCTGGGAATAGTTGTTTCCTATCATCTGGGTACTATAGACTTTGAAAGTGACAATTTTGACCAGTGGCATCCTTTTATTATTATGGCATTTCTTAGCCTAGCTTTTTTGAGAAATTCTATGCTGAACTCATGGTTTTAAGCGTTTAACAGCCCCTTCAGGAATCCTGTCCATTCTTTATTTCTTCCTTTTCTTCCATCTGCCTTCTAGAGCAGTCTTGGTACATCCACAGCCCTATTGATGAAGATGATCTGCTGGTTCCATATCCCACAGACAAAGAGCTTGAGACACACCCTCCCACCCCCAAGCAAGTAGTGGCTGAACTAGAAATAGGCAGTAACTGTTCGTCCCTAGTTCATCCATCACTCTGCATTCCCACCCTAGAAGACTTCAGGGAGTTGTGAAGAAAGAAATGCCCTAGGCTGCTTATCTGCCTGGGATTTCAGGTCCTCGTGAACAGAGAGATGGTTCAGGGATTAAATAAAATGCTGGATTCTTCTCTATGCAGTGACAAACATGGAAGCTCTTGGGCAGATAGACATGACCATCCTCTCATTGTCTCCCAGTTCATTTTGTACCAACTGAGATGTACCACAGGTACAGAATGAGGTACTTAGTATTTATGTGGTGACTTCCGCTTGGATAAAATGGGGGTTGTCATGCCTACACATTGTGCTCAGGGCATGTGGGGAACAGACAGAGAGACATGGTTCTTTAAAAGATTTGCTATGGAAAAAAAAAAAAGATTTGCTGTGAAGCGATTTCCATACCACCTGGGGAAGGCACTAAGGAGAGAAGAGGCACTGCCCTGTGTGGCGTATGTCAAACCTGCTTTTCAGGCTGGGAAGGTGGTGATCAGACCGAATGGAGGAAACTCATGCCAAGTCTGCATCTTTCCCAGTGTCCTCAAAGGGCGATCCCAGACTTTAAGATCCAGAGTGTGGAAAATTCTCCTGATGTCCGCAGCAGTGTAAGCAGAGGTGCCCCCTTTAGCCAGCATTTGCCCAGCATAAAGGCTGCAGTTCCCCTAAAGAGCAAAGACTTTTATTCTCCTGATCGTGTACAACCCGTGTTAGTCCTCACTCCTGGGAAAAGGGAGAGGGGCAGCCAGATTACCCGGGAGAATTCTGCCTTACTCCGTCTCATTCCAATCTTTATTCTCTCTCTCTCTCTCTCTCTCTCTCTCTCTCTCTCTCACACACACACACACACACACACACACACACACCTCACACCCAGTCAAGATAGACATGCATTCACTTGTGTATATACTAGTCAACCAGCTTCCCACACAGCAATATCCACCATCTAAGGACACCCACGTGTCACCCACAGAGCAATAAAAAAATCCAGGCAGCCCAGGAAACTATACTCTTTTTTCCTCTTTTCTCTCTCATTTTCCCCCTAATAAAGGTCTTTAAAAAATATATATTAAATCAGTTAAATTTTTTTACTCATATGTTCATGTGGCTGGAGCAGATTGACAAGGAAAACAATCACAAAATAAATATTTTTGTTTTTGTTTTTAAAAAAGAACATTTCCCTAGACATCATCTCTCTGACTGGACAGCTACTTTCTTGGACAGATTGGGGGCTGTAGGAAGGGAGCTCTGGCTGGACCAGGGGTGGGACGTGGAACAAGTCCGGCCCCAAAACTGGGGTAGCCCAGGAAGCCAGGGGACCAGGGAGGAGGGAGGAAGGTGAAGGGGGAGCAAGGCCACCTGCCCACACTGAGTGTCCTCAGTTGGTGTCACTTCCCCTGTTTCCTAAAGGAGCCGCCTGGAGGAGCAGTCAGCGTCCGGGAGGGCTCAGAGGAGGCAGAGTACAAAAAGTAGGAGCCAGTGTGGGAATCACGAAACACCAAGAAACCTGGTTAAAAAGAATACAAAAGTGACTCCGCAGAGGGGGAGCAGGAGCTTCCACCCCTCCCGTTTGTCCCCTCTTGCTTCCTTGAATGATAAGAATCACTTTTAAGGATTTGTTTGTTTCATGGTTTGGCTGGTTCTTTTTCTTAATCTCTCCCTTGGCTCCTCTCCTTCAACTGCATTCATTTTGGAAAGCACCGACTTTACAGACACAAGGCTGCTGAGTTGTAGCCTCCCCGAGGGAGCGCGCGCGCGCACACCCGCGGGGTGAGTGTGTGCATGTGCAGTGGCTGTTTCTTTCTCTCCTGCCTGTGTCAGTCCAATCCCCGAGGTCTCATCTGCTGGGTGCAGAGTCTCAAGGGAGCACCTTGTTGGCACCAAGGTGAGTGCCTGGATGCATGGATCCCCTCCCTGTCCGGCACTGAAGTGCCCCCCCATTAGCTACAGAGTTTGCCTGTCTCATACTCCACAGCATTTGGCAGCTTGGAATTGAAAGCCCTCAAGGAGGACTGGATCCTGCCCACCTCGTTGTTGGCCAGCTTGAGCCGGTGCCGGAGCAAGCAGGAGAAAAGGTCCAGCCGGACTTTGCCAGGTGGAGAAAGCTGGTTAACCCGGTCCCTAAGCTCTATGAGCTGCAAGAGGGCAGAGTCCTGGGAGCCTTGAGTGTATGGGTAATCCAACTGGAGAATTAAGTCCCGGATAGCATCTGGGTCAAAGGGCAGGCTGTAGCCGAAGACCTGCAAGGTGTTGATTTTCATGTAGCCCAAGTTCTTGGAGGGATCTGTCATCTCCAGGGGCTCATAGTAGATGGTCTCATTGGAGCTGTCATCCAGGGACTTGATTCGGCTCCGTAGGTAAACATGGACTGTCTCAAAGAAGGTCTTCCACCTGTTTCCCAAGGTGATCGTCCAGTTCTGGCACTGGGCAGCCGCGTCCACGTTAGTCCTTTCCCAGTCCGGGAAGTGGGCCTCGTTCACGGGCATGAACCAGCTCTCAGAGTGGCTGCCTCCAAAGGGGTTGACGTAGATGGCCATGACGGGCTCCAGGGTGCTGTTCTTGGTGAGGCAGATCTGCAGGGACAGGGCCAGCATCACATGCACCAGCCCAGGCTTGTACTTATTGCTCTTCAGGGTGAGCAGCATGCGCTTCCTCCAGGAGGGGTCAAACCAGCTGCCCAGGCGCATGTCGTTGCTGATGAAGATGGAGTGCACCTCGATGCGGCTGTCCCACTTCTGCAGCAGGTACTTCAGCTCCAGGTCCTGCAGATCTGTCTCCAGCCCCAGAAAGTTCTCCAGGGACTCAGCCACCTCTGGCCGGCACAGCCCTTGGACCAGCACGTAGCCCGGGTTGCAGCCCCCACAGCGTGTGCTGTTGTCCCGGGCACAGTGGGCACAGGCAGACCCTTCACCCAAGGCACATGGGATGGGGCCCTGGCAGGAAGATTGGTCATAGGGGCAGCTGCAGCTGTGGCTCTGCTCCAGGAAGGTGCCAGGGAAGGTGCTTTCTCCACAGTAGAGGAAGGACTGGATTCGGTTCCACCAGAAGGATAAGGACCTTTGGGAGAGGAGACAGAAATGAAGCAAGAGTCATAGGAAGCCACACACCGCCATCCTCCCTGAGGGTACCAGGACAGTGACCAGCAGACAGGGAAGGCGATCAGGAAATTAAAGGCCCACATTCTCTAAAAGATGGAAACCCTACTGACTAGGGCCTGGGACTCAGGTTCTGACAGATCTGCCCCAGAAATATTTGACATCAACCTTGAAGTGGAAGCCGCCAAGCTCATCCCTCCCAGGTACTGCCTCACTCCCTCACTCAAAAGCCTACAGAAGCTCTGCCCCATCTTTTGTGTCAAATCTGGCTTCCAGCCTCCTAAATAAGATCTTCTCACAGCCGGCTCTCCACTTTCAAACATCCTGCCGACTTCCTCCCCACTTCTTAGTCACTGTCCTTTGTGTTCCCTCTGCTTCTCTCACTCTTCCACCAAGAATAGGAATTTTCTAACATGGCTCCTTTAAAAAATTTCAGCTCTGTGATAATGCCTCCTCAAAGAGGTCTTCCGAGACTTCCCTTTCAGAAGAACCGCCCAGTCACTCTCTGTCTTGTCACCCTGTTTCTGTGAACCCACAGCAGTGATCAGGATCGGAAATTATTGTGTTCCTTTGGTGCTGACTTGTTCATGGACGGCTTCCTTGCAGATGCCGTGAGAGTAGGGACACTGTGTTATTCGCCAACGTGTTCTTAGGAGCTAGAATTGTTCCTGGTGCACGGTAAATATTTGATAATTATTTGTTGAAAAAGAAATGAATAGGTCTTAAAAACCCTTGCTGGCCTGCACTCCCCCTCCTCTTCCTTCTCACCTGTGCCTCGGGTAGAGTGGCACCTCTGGTTTGTTGTCAGGGCAGCTCCCTCTCCTGGAATGCCTGGCTCACATGCACCCGCCCTTCCATCTCCTGTACAGCCTGGCCACTCCTCCTTCCCCATGGTGGCTTTTCTCTCTGGCCTTTGCTAGACCATGTTTTTTCTTTACACTCCATGAGCATGAAGTGAAGGGGCTTTAAGTGGCTGCCACATAGCTGCAATTTTTCAGTCTTTATGTTTCTGTATATTTTTTCAGTCTTCCCAAATGTCCCCCACAGCTTAATCAAAGCACATGCAATGTGGACTTAATAAAAACTTGTTGAACAAATGAGTCAGTGAGCAGATGAATGAGTGAGTGCCTAAGATACAGCCCCACTCTGTCCCCGAGGACACAAGACCCCAGCTCTCTTTTCTCCTGTGACTCGGAGCAGTCACCTGTTCAAAATAATCCAGTGTGTGTAGTTCTCATCCCAAGCAATTGGTGTATGAGCTTTGACTCCCCCCTTTCTTTCCTAGAAGACTTATCAAAATGGAAATAAGTAAGAATAGGAGTATTATTAGGATAACATTTGATTCTACCATCATTTATATATAAAAGTCCAATTAGCCTCTCTTTTTTTCACTGGCTCACTTTAGGTACATCTCATAGTTGAGGATGACATATGAGTAGGTCAAGATAACAGGAGCATCTAAAAAGCCATATGTGTAGCTCCCTATTCCTGGGTCTCCCATGTTGGGCAGAGGGTCCTCCCTGGCCTTAGCTGTTGGGGAGGTGCCAAGCACTGGCTCTGGGGCCTGGGGTGCTCACCGCTCCTTGGGCAGACGGAAGCGAGGCTGCCGGTGGCAGCGTTTGCAGAGGTTGAAGAGCCGGCTGACGATCCGATGCATCTTCTTGAACAGCATTTTCAAGCTGGCTCCCAGCTGCTGGTAGCGGTGCTGGAGGCCAGCGTCCATGGCCCAGAACTGGGAGATGGTTGTGGAGTTCAGGAACCTGTCGTCAGGCAGCCTTTTCAGCAGGGTTTGGAATTCCTCTGTGGGCAAGGACACAGGCAGGGCTGAGGGGGTCCATGCACACCCCCAGAGGGGCAGGTGGGTGCTCCCCAGCCCTTCAGAGTCACTGCATACAGAAGAGGCTTCGCAGCCATTCTTCTCCCAGACCCTTTATTTATGTATTTTTCAATAGCTTTATAGAGAAGTAATTAATATACCATAAAATATGGCTTCAGGATTCTTTCCCATCCTTCCTGTCCTTAATATGCTTCTCAATTTCAAGACAGATCTCTGTCATCCCCAAGGGGCCAATGGCCTTGGGACATATCCCTTTTCCCCTTTCTACTCCTTGTAAGTCATTCACAGCGCAGTCTGAGGCCAATCTTCAAAGACACCACAGCACCCTTATGGAAAATGCGGCACTCTTAAGGGTGAACAGCCCTTTCAAGCTGGCTCCCCACTGCTGGTAGCAGTGCTGGAGGCTGGTGTCCATGGCCCAGAACTGACTAACCAATGGGACACAGAGAGGATAGAGCACCAGCTGAGAAATCTTCCTGAAAGCCTTTCAGTCTCTGAGACCAGCCACCCTCTCCCTATCCTTTTTTTAATTTTTTTAAAATGTATTTTATTGATTTTTTACAGAGAGGAAGGGAGAGAGATAGAGAGTTAGAAACATCAATGATGAGAGAGAAACATCGATCAGCTGCCTCCTGCACGCCCCCTACTGGGGATGTGCCCGCAACCAAGGTACATGCCCTTGACAGGAATCGAACCTGGGACCCTTCAGTCCGCAGGCCAACGCTCTATCCACTGAGCCAATCCAGTTAGGGCCTTTTATTTTTATTTTTTTTACTCTGGGATATATTTCCTTTTTTTGAGCTTCCACTCTTGGTCAGATACCCATTTTATTTTTATTTTTTATTTTTTTTACTCTGGGATATACTTCCTTTTTTTGAGCTTCCACTCTTGGTCAGATACCCATTCTTTCCTGTAGCTAATCCAGAAGCAATGTGCTTTCTGGTTCTCAGCTCCTACTGCCAGTCTGAGATGTTCTCCGGGCTTCCTGGTCACATCATGCTTTCTGAATTCATGCTCAGGGATCTGTCCACATCTGCTTTAATGGGACCTGCAGCCACCAGTCTCCTGATGGAGATCCATAGAGTCCTTGTTTACTCAGCAGCAGCAACTCATGGCGGTGAAAGCCCAAAGTCATTTCCTGCACACTTAAAAGTTACGGAACAGCTATCCCCAGTAGCCTATAGCAACTGGGGTTGGAAGACTGGGGTGGGATGTTCTTAGCTGCTAAATGCCTTGCCTAGAACTTGGAATGACAGGGGCCTCAGCTCATTCTGACTTCTCAAGCATCTGGTTCTGCATCCCCTGCAGAGAAGTGGAGAATCACTCCTGTAGTGAAACATAACTATCATGTGCATCATTCTGTTTAATGAAACATTTAACCTACAAAGGGGTATGGAGAATAGCAGGAAAAGTTCCCATGTGCCCACTACCTAGCATTTGGCCCTTTGCCATGTTGGTTTCAGATTTTTTTTAAAGGAAGTAAGACAAATAAATATACTTGAATACCCCAAACTTCCCCACTTCTCCATCGAGATGTGGGCACTCTCTTGGATGTTTTCTTTATCGTTATCACATATTTTTATGTGTTCTACAAGTGTATTTATCTATAAAAATATTAAATATTCACTAGCATGTTCTTCAACTCCATATAAATAGTATTAAATGTGTATTATATTTAATAGATTATTATATTATAGCATTATATATAAATATGTGTATATCTCTTCCTCTTGCTGGTTTATCTAACATTATGCTTTTGAAATATATCCAAATAACTAGCATTCATTAGTATTGAAATGTATGAATAGAATTGTGCAGAGTTCTTTTTACATTAATTTTATCTCAATTATCCCTTTTAAGCCTTCTATCCAACTGTCATTATCACTTTCTGTCTAATAGATGAGGAAACCAAAGCATTGAGAAGCCGTGTAGCCAATATAAGGTCATAGAGCTGGACAGCAACAGAGTGCATTAGTCTGTTTGGGCTGCTACAACAAAATACCACCGACTAGGTGATTTATAAACCACTGAAACTTATTTCTCACAGTTCTAGATGCTGGAAGTCCGAGATTGGGGTTGCAGTATGACCAGGTTCTAGTGAAAGCCCTCTTTAGGGCTGCAGATGGCTGACTTCTCACTGTGTCCTCACATGGTGGAAAGGGTTAGAAATCTCTCTGGGTCTCCTTTATAAGGGCACTAATCCCATTCATGACCTAATCATTCCCCAAAGTCTCACCTCCTAATACCATCACTGAGTGCATTAGATTTTCAACATATGAATTTTAGGGTACACAGACTATAACACAAAGCAAGGATGCACAACCAAGTCCTTCAGAATCTAGGTCTCAAGGTTACATTGATATTAGTTATGCCTAGCATGTCTGGGTCTCCTAGAACTTTTCTATTCACTTTACTCATTCAGCAAACATTTATTGTGCACCTTATTTGCAGGCACTGTTCTAGGCACCGTGGAACCTATAGCATACAAAACAGACAGAGCCTATGCCTCCCTTATATTTCATTAGCTTACTAAGTCCTTCAAACACATCTCTTTGGTACGTAGTATGCCCATTTGCATATAGAACAGAAAGAAATGACTTGAGACTCAGAGTGGTGATAGAACCTGCTTGAGGTGGCTGAGCCAGGATCCAAGTTGAGTTCCCATGATCTTGCCCCGCACCTTACATCCACCTCCCATTAACAGGAAGGACACCTGGGACTGGTGACTGCTCACCTGACTCCTCAAACTGCCGGTTGTGAGTGGCCCAGGAGTCCTGGATCTGCAGCAGGCTGTCCTCCATGGCCTGGATGTCCGCATCAGGACAGTTGCACTCAGGGAAGGTAGGGCTGCACTGGCACCAGCAGTCATTCTCCTTGCAAATGAGCTCGCCCTCAGAGCTGCATGTAATGTAGCTCAGCGCTGCAGCCACGAAGCGCTCACGCAGGTACTCAGGCAGCAGCACCTGCAGGCCTAGGGAAAGGACATGTCAGGAAATTGCCAGGCGGAACCAGTGGGGCTCAGTTTCCCTCACCCCAGGCTGCAGGAGGCCCAGCTAGGGTTCTGCTTCCTTGTGCATCCTGGGCCCAAGAACAGTCACCCCAGGGCCTGATCCTGCTGAGCTGGTTGGGAGAGAGCTTTGCTGCTGCCCCAGTGACAGATGGGGGAGGATCTGAAAATGCAAATGAGGATCATCAAAGCCCAAGGCTTAGTGGAACCCCTTATATCAGCCAAATTGAGAGCGTGCACATCATATGAACGGGCTTATTGGCTACCCATCAGCATTTCTAGGATGGAAACAGGAAGATGTTTCAGATAAAAGAAGAGCTTACAGCTCTCATGGGGGAGGAATCAAGCCTTGATGGGCTTTTTGCTTTGTCTCTGATAACCATCCTGTTTCTAGCTTCACTGAGATTAGCAGCAGGCATCCTAAGATGTTACTGAATGCTGATCCTTCTGGGCCTCCCACCCCAGTCCCAAGGATGGAAGAGGTTGCCCTGGTTAGGAGGCAGGGACAGGTATTGTGGGTATATAGTGGCCAGGCACTACCCCAAGTACTTTCCATATACAATTGCAAGTAACAGTTGTGATCATACTAAGCCTCTTAGAGGTGAGGAAATCCAAGCCCAGTGACCACGGTGACCAGCCCAAATCACAGTAACTAGTAAAGTCTGCTTGGTGTCAGACGCTGCCCTTGTCCCACCAGGACTGGCTGCCCCATCTCAATGTAATTTAACTCTTGAGGAGATTCGAAAATAGGATGGTGGTAAATACCCAAGATCAGTCAGGCCTGGATACATGCAAATGGCTCTCAGCTCTCTTCTAATTAGCATCTTCTGATCTTGGCTGTAATCCACTGACGCTTCAGTTTCCCCACCCATCTGTGGTGGGTATTCGTTTACCAGTCGTAGCAGAAGATACCCCTAGTTGGTTTCAAGCCACACAGAGTGGCTGTTGGAAGCATATCAAGGGATGAGTGAGGGACAGGCATGCCTTGGGACACAGCCTGAGCTTGTTCAAGGTCAGACCTGCAGGAGGCTCCCCCGCTAGGGACACTGTGAGATCCTGTGTCGGGAGGGTGAGGGACATGGGGACTTATGTATATGATGTACCCCTTTTCTCAAATGTCTGCCAGCTCTTTATTTTCACACCCTTGACCTTGTCCTTGGCAGGCAATCAGAGAGCCCAAAGTATATATCCCAGTCTCAGCAATTCAAAATATGTTAGAATTGCAGCTGCAGTGGATGTTTAGTGTTTTTGTCTAAGGCCTCCCTCCCATTCTGAACTGCTCCCGAATTTTCCTTTCTTGATGTTGTGCCTGTAGGGGCCTTAGAACTGCGCTCCCCACACTCCCTGTCCATAGGCATGCTCTCAACACCCACCCCTCTGCAAGTCCATTCCTTTCACCTCTCCTATCACCTCCCTCTGCCTCACCATAACATTTCCCACTGCTATAAAATAAGTGCCCGGAGCAATGTCTGCATGAGTGATGGGCTATAAAATTAAATGGCATAAACTATTCCAAATGAACCACCAGACATTCTGAACTTCCCTCATTGCTAATTTCCAGACACCAACCCAGCCCACCCAGAGATGTAGGAGAAGAGAGATGCTAACTGCCTTAGGTGCCAGCTAAGGAGTCTTTTACTCCTCTTTATTATTTATTCCTTGATTCCTAAAGCATTTATGGGTTGCATCCAGCTTAGGTTGCCTGGAATTTGTAATCGTAGATCCTGGGTGAGGGCTATTGATTTTATAATACAGAGACAATAATATCTTAAGCAGAGTCCAATTCAGTTAGGCCTTAAGAAAAATGAACTTTTCCCACTACCAAACAGCTCTGACTCAGTTTGCGTGCCTAGGGGACAGACAGCAGGAGTGATGCCGCCCATCTCCAACCTCCTGACCTAGTGGAGCTCCCTTTCCTCTGGCGTTCCCGTTTTCCTGCTTGCTGCTCTGTCTTCAGTTGAGGATCCCATTCCTCTCACACTCTCCTCCTAGCTTTGATCTCCCATGGAAGATCACTGACTAATAACAGAAAGCAGGGCACTACTTTCAGGGTAACCAGTGGTCCCACAGTTTGTATAGTTCTTAATTGAGCTAGAGATGGTGGCCCCATAACCATTCTGCAAAGGCCAGCTGTTTCCAGTGTGTTCTCAGGACAAAGCAGAGGCTTCTTTGGACAAGAAAGGAGATCGCTGAACGAGGTCAAGGCATATAAAGATGGATGCGTTGTTGCTGTAGGACAGTGACAGCATTTTTGGATTTGGGGTGTTGAGTGGTATAAGCATTGGTCTTGGGTGTGGGGCAAATCATGTCAGAAGTTTTCTCAAATGAATGATGGAAAGTTGTTAACTACCAATCCCAGAACTCTCGGTCATTCTTGTCTTAAAAGGGGGTGAGCAAATGGGCAGGGCCGGCAGGACTTTTCCCTGCTCCCTGGGGATCCACACCTTTTACCAGGTGGGAGGAGTGTGAACACCATCCCTGTGCAGCTTACCGAGTAACTGCACTCTGTTCTCCGGACTTTGCACCAGGACTGAGCTGACCGAGTCCAGATTGTCGTAGTTGCTGCAGCCCAGAGGGCCGGTCCTGGTCTCCGTGACCTAGAGCAGGAAGGGCAGAGCGTGGGTTTACATAACAAGGGGAGACTCCCTTTGCCCTTCTCTCTCCAGTCATCCATCTCAGGCTCTGTGTCCTGTCCTGACTAGCCAAAGGAATGGCATGTGTTCCCCCACCCCCAGAGCATAACACCACTTTTCTTCTTTGTCCTAAGATAGTGACTATCTGTGGGGCATGGTTGGAAGCAACAGTTCTACACAGAGGCAGTCTTTCAGAGGGAGCCAGAAAGCATTTGTGTCGGGGAAGAGAAAATTCAACATAGGCAGAGGAAGCTGGATCTTTAAGCTGGACCCTCCCCTCCCTGGAGGGAGACAGGAGACCAGATGTGGACGCCGTCAGCCTGCTTGTGAGCCCAGATGTAGCCAATCACTGTGGTGCTGACAGGCTTGACGGATCCCTAAGATGAAAAGCACTAGAGAAATATGAGTTATGAGTATTATTATTAGTATTAAACATTTAAGTCCCACCTCGGCACTGAGGAAGTCCTTAGAGAAAATCAGCCATGGGCTTACTGCATATTTTACTAAGTATATTAAATATACATAAAGTCTTATAGCCATGTAATATTCCAAAACATCAGAGCCATTTTAAAATATTATAAAGTTGGCCTATCAGTTTTTCCCTGATGTTTAAAGTATAAGATGAAAAATGAGGAGCTTTAAATGCACTGAAATAATTATGTAATAAGAACGATGGGGACCTGAGGCCCTTTCTTCTCAGAATCTCCGAAGGCTTTTCCCACAATCAATCAACCAATGAACTAGTATTTATTGAGCAGCCACCATTTCAATTCCATGCAGTTCATCAAATATTCATAGTGTGCCTTTCCCGAAGTTCTTCCACGAAGTCTGCCCTGATACCTCTCACCCCCTCTCTGAGCTCTGGGCACCTCTGCTCAGCAGCAGGCAGGCAGGCCACCCTATTCCATCCTTTGCTGTGAATATTTCATAATGTCTGGGTCCTCCACACACCAAAGGCTCCACTAAGTAAGCTCATATTGTCAGCAGCTGTTAACACAGTGCCTGGCACATACCGGGTACTCAGTAAATTAGAGAATTTATGAGTGATAGGTTTCAGGCTTTAAGGGGAAGAGGGGTGAGCACAAAGATATACACATTATATACTATATCGTCCAGGAGATTACAATCAACTACCCTCCTCCAAGTCCTCATCTATACCTGTAGTGGGGGCTAGGTATATATACAACTGACTGATACACATTCAAGTCTAGCAGAAGCAGTGTGTCATGGCTACTGAGGAAAGCATAGTTTTAAACAAAGAGAAAACAAGGGAAGAAGTAGCAGAGAAGAAACCAACCGAGTTGGACCTTAAAGATAAGTAGAAAGTGGACAGGAAGAGAAGGGAGGGAAAGGTACTCTGAGAAAAAGAAGGGGCAACATGATGTAATACATATGGGTTCAAAAGTGCATATTTCTAGCTCTCTGCTGGTTACCATGTGAATACCAAAGTATAAGCAACATGCTTAAAGGGAATTTTGCATACTTAGGCTTAAATATATATATTTAAGAAATATATATGTATATATAAATATATATATATCAGAGTAATCAAGTGAGAGCTGGTATGATAATGACTTGAAATACAGTGGGGTGAGAGACAGGAGAGATATTTGTAACTTAAAGTAGTCAAGGAAGGCTTTATGGAGAAGGTGAGCCAGAGCCAGACTTTGGTCTTGAAGGATGAGTAGGGGTGGGATGGAATGGGGAGGGAACTGAGAGAAAAGGAGGTACCTGCAAAGACCAAGGGGCAAGGATAGACACAGTACATGAATGGGACACAAGACCAGACAAGGTAGGAACAACAGTTTTCCAAGTTCATATTCCAATATCATTCTTTTTCACCTTCACAGTAACTCTCTGAGATAAATCTCAGTACTGTCACTCTCCAAAGGAGGACCCCAAGGTTCCACACTGTTGAGTAGCCCAAACAGGATTTTAACTCTTGAGTCCCCAGACTCCAGTTTGGTGCCCTTGTGTCTCCTGTGAGAGCATGTCAACAGACAGCAGAAAATAGAGTTAAACCCCTTTAGATGACATCAATGTTAAAAACAATTACTTTAAACAGCATCTTTTAGTGATTTGCCTTCTTCTCCGAATGTGAACCTGGGGCAAAACAAACTGTATAGCCTTGAAATTGGAGGACCCTTATATTATAAATTAGGAAGCCAAGGCCAGTGAGCTTAAATGACTTATTCAAGGTAACACAGCTAGTCACCTGCTGGGCTAGGATTCATCCAACTTAATTATTCATTCACTTATTTTTTTCATTTAACAAATATTCAAGGAGCAATCAGAACTCACAGTGTGTAAGCCCCAATCACTGCCACAAGGATGCATAGACAAGTGGAAACATGCTTCCATAATCCCCAAGTTCTGGCTGATATACATGGGCCTGTGTCCCTCAATAGGTGGGCACTAAGGGCTGCATTGGGTGAGTGAGTGAGTGAGTGAGTGAGTGAGCGAGCGGTGAGTTGCCAGACTGAACTGGAAGGCTGAACATTGCCTTATATCAAGTGAAATTTTCTTTATCCATATGGTATGAGAATCCCTGTAAGAAGAGCCATGGCTAAGGACTAGCTCACCTGTTCTGGAGAAGCCTGCCCCTAATGGAATGGCTTGGGTTGAAGGGCTGGGTAGGATGGTGGGTGTGGTATTTGGAAGACCTACCCCTCCCCAACTCCAGGCAAGCTGGCATCACGCTGTCACACAGTTCTGCACTGGATTTTCTATCCACCCACCACTGAGCTGGTCCATTCACCAGCATCAGGTCTAGGCAGAGAGGGAGCTACACACTTCATGTAGGAACAGGATGACTCCCAAGGAGGAAAACCTAGAACAGCCACCTTCCTGTCCTTAGTCCCACCAGTAAGCCTTCCTCCCTACCACCCATCCATCTGCCTTCCCACCATCCTGTTAGCATTCTGGGCTGCCTCGGATGGTCTTTCTGACCTTCACTTTGCTATTAACAAAGGTAATTTCCACAGAGGACAATCAGCTAGGTAATTCATTGAGCGAGTGTGAGTAGCTTCACTTTATTAATTGTGGCACAAGGATAGGAATGAGGAAGTGACAATGACCATGATCTCCAAGTTCATTTCCTGTTAGAGGGAATGATCAGGCCTGCTCTCCAAGAGGGAGGAAGGCTCACTATGATTTTACTAGATCCCAAAGTCACTGCTCTTCCCACTGCTATTCTGCTCTGAGTCACCTCTGTCCTCCCTAGACAAGTGAGGAGGAGGAGAGAGGGCGTTGGAGAGGGTGCTCTTGCAGACAGTGCCTAAGCATGGACTTGATAAGCAGGATGGCCTAATGCCCCCTCCCCCCAGTGATGGAGTCCCAGAGTCTGCAGAGTTGGTCCAGAGAGCCCTGTGCCTCTCTCTGTAGAAGAGGCAGGCAGCTCGAGCAGATTATAAAGAGGGCCCACAGAGGTAATGGAAAGTGCAGTTCACTCAGGCGCACACGTTCAGAGTGTCTCAGATAAGCTTTCAGAAAGGGGAAATAATTGTGTGCTAATTGGTCTGTTGACAGAGACCAGCCTGCCATCAGAACGCCCTGATGGATCTCAGGTTCATTAGCACATCCAGTTTTTCATATATACCATTCTAGCCGCCTACTCTCCTCCCCTTGCCCTTCACTTCCGGCTGCTCTTGTCCTACCAGATAGGACACCTGCCGAGCTGAGAGTGAGTAAAATGGGCTTCTAATTGTGAGCAGTGGGGCTGCTTGGGAGAGCAGGGCCGATGCCAAGTGTGCCGAAAAGATCTGCAAACTGAATCGAAGGCTGCTGCTGTGAGCAATTTGTACAAAGCCCTCCTGGGATGCTTTGTGAGAACCACTTCCTTTTGCCATCTCGGGATCCACCTGAACTTTGTGTGGGCTCCGGAGCACCTCGAGCCACCCCCCGCCAAGTCCTTCCTCAGCCTTTGATTAAATAGAGGGTGAGTTGCAACTGAGGAACAGGCCCCCTCCCCTCCTTCATGCCTCTGATCCCATCCTGACACTTATGGGCAGGATGGATATGCAGTCAGCCCTTTATAGTTTACAAAGTGTTTTCATGTGAACTATATCATTTGGTGTCACTCCAGCCAAGAGTCAGGGGTTATATTCACAATATTTGTGGCAGGAAGGACAGGGTATGCCAAAGTAGGGTTCTGGAAGCCTCCTGAGGTGCATTAGCCCTTTGGTTACTAGCAGGGGGGCATCTGGAGTGTTCAGGGGAGGGTGAGATGGTTAGGGTGGCACACGGGGTTGTGGTGAATACCGTTTATCAGCCAGGATGGAAGTGTTTTAATATTTTAGTAACTATGTAGCCATAGCAACTGAATATAAGCCTGGGTCTAGGTAAGTCAAATCGTTGGTAACTCCATATCAAGGAACTCAGTGACTCCTCAAGGTCATAAAGATAGGAAGCATCTAGGCTGAAACCCAATCCCAAATCTCACTTGAGTAAGTTTCTTTCTCACTAAACCATGCAGCCCACTGTCACCTATTGAGCATTTGATTGGCCTTACTATGCCAGATACTGTGAAGGGACCCAGAACTGTGTGCACTCCGCAGTCCCTACTCTAAGCCATCTTGTCATGATGGGTGTGGGAGACAGAGATGGGCATGTAAACAGCTGTAGTATAATGTGCCACGCCCAATAGTAGAGGTGTGTGCTGATCAGGGTCCACCTTGCTCTCAGAGGAACATGTTGGATAATCAAAAGGGACCACCATCTTTGGAAGCCTGTTTTTGGAACATCTCCGTTCACACATAAAATGTGAGATGATTATTCAGCTTCCACTGCGATGACTGACCTGAAGTTTTCCTGTTGAGGAGCACAGTGGATTCTCCCATGGAATGTAATTCAGAGAACCATGAGAAAACAGAGATCATACAGTGTTTTTCTCCCATCTTCCCTCCTCCAAGTCCTTATCCATACATAACTTAGTGATGTCTAGAGACCTTTGTGACCTGTCCAAG